ACTGAAAAAAATGGTAATTAATGATATTAAAAGAAGTAAGAAAGTAAATATGATCTGGGATGTTCTTTGCCCTGAGAAAAAATTTTGCTTGGCAAATGGATCAGATATTGGACAATTATGGTACATTCTTGCTTCATCTTTATCATATTTCCTTTATAATTTCATAATTCAAACATTGGTAGAGCTTTCTGAGAGACAATTAACAGGTTATCTTGAAATACTCCTTTTTCATTTTCAAAATATTACAGAGTTGTAGAGTTAATTGGAATCCTATTGACTAAGACAAGGAAGTTGTCATTAACTACTTTGGGACCATAAGTACAATCATGTATTATGTAATTATCTTTGAAACAACTAAAAGGTGCATTGTTCCTAAATACGTAAATACAATCTCTTTAGTCTGCATAATGTTGCTTGTATGAATTTAAAAGGAAATGTATAGAGAAGTATGGGTGGGTTTATAGGGAGGAAAGGGAAGGGAGAAATGACATAATAATATTATAATTTCAAAATATAAAAGAAAAAAATTAAAAGATGCATTAATTAAAATAACACCTACTTCATGAAAAATAATAAAAGCAAATAAAACAAAAAACACTGAATGAAGTATTCTTAACTTTTTTTATTATATTTTTACAAAAACAAATTTTCATTACTCCCAGTTTAAAGTCCGTAGAGAGAAAGACATACCTGGGAGGTACGAAGGACTAAGTGCTGAAGCATTGACTGGTTATATCAATGCAGAGTTCCAGCACAGTTAGATGTTGACAGAAGAACCAGAGTACTTTCCACTACAACATGAGCCAAGAACATCCTTGTCCTTCTAACTCCACAAGTTATTCTCCTGAATCCTGCCTTTGTTTGCCCAAAGCAAACTACCATTAGGACTAGAACACACACATTGGAAGTTCACTGATATTTTAAAATGAAAAGTAGTCTCCTTGGCAAAAGAATTAGAATCTCTCTTATAATGCATCAAATCATAACATAGTGATTCTGAGAACTGCAAGGTCAAGAAAACATAAACAACAGTAATTTCTTAGTATGTAGCTATCAAATCTATCTTTTCCATCCTGTGTCATCTTTCAAGAACCTGGAGCTAAAGTAGCCGAGTAAGAACTATTCTTATAAATGCACCAGTGGTGCCTACTATCAACTTCAACCAACTATTTAATGAATGTTAGTTCTGTTTGGCAACATTTTGTAGTGATTTCCATAGGTATATATGTGCCTGTGTGAATTCATGTCCTATGCACTGGTAATCAAATTCGGTAAATGCGAAGAAAAAGTTCAACTACTAGAATAAACCATAGCCCATAATTTTATTTTTGAATGCAATTAAAATCTACTTTTGCACATATAAGTTTTTCTAAGTTCCCAATATTGATACATCAGAAATTTTGTCATTATCTAATTTTTTAAGGACACCTGATTTTTTAGTGTGCCACTGCTCTTACTATAGCTATTTTTTTAGTCCTGTTAACCACACACAGCATAATATACAATAACTCAGAAGACAAGTTCTCCATGTTATCCAAAAGAAGAGTCTACATTGTCTCTTAGTCAACTTCCACTTATAAATGTGCACTTAGAAGCAAATGAGCTAATTCTTTAAACAGTTAGGTCAAAATCAAATGGAGCATACTAATACCAGTGCATCTTCTTTCCTGTTGAGCTGGTTGGTGAGCTAATTGGTTTCCTGAGACACAATCTCAAGCTATCCAGGGTAGCCTCTAATTTGCCATGTAACTGAGGAAGACCTTGAATTCATGGTCCTTCTGCTTCCTCCCTCTCAAGTGCTGGGGTGGTCAGTGTCAGCACCCATGCCTGAATCTAATGCATCTTTCTCCAAAGCTCTCATAGCCCTGAAATAACTTTATTTGAATTATTCACACACAGTTCTTCTTTCCTTGATATTGTTTGCTTGCCACTAAGTGACAGTATATAAATACATATATGACGGTTTCATTAGGGATCTTCCCAAATCCCAAGGTAGAAAGTTCCATATATCATTAACCATTATACATTTCAATGTCAATAATTGGCAGGCATTTAAATGCTGAGTTTAGTAAGTCAGTCATTGGTCAAATGATAGCAATAACACACTAATTAAAAAAATGTAGAGATAAAAGACAACCTGTTTTTCTCTGTCAGGTTTCAGATAATAGCACCTAAGACAAGGATGATGAAACTACACCACTTGAACAAAGATTTCAGACAGTATCTTCTTAGAAGCTTTACTCCCATCAGAATGTGACTCAGTTTCTGACACTGTCTACCCTTTGGTGGGATCATCACTGATGGGTCTGTGTTCAACATTCCAACCTTCTGAAGTCTATCCAGCTCCACAATCATTTGTGAAGGCTCAAGATTAATTCTGTTCTTAGAGAAGTAAACAAACTGACGGTTGTCAACTTTGTTCCACTTCTTTCTCTTCCTTTCTTTGACGTTTACCTAAGAATTATTATTAATTCAGGTTTAGTTTCTGTTTTCATTTCTCTACCCCATTTAGTTGTTTGAAATCAGGTCTCATCAATCTTCTATATTTTTTGTGTCTAATCTCTTTCATTTCTAAAACATAAATATAAATGATGATAATGTAATTTTATCGTTTCCACAAAAATATTCTAAAAATATTTCTTCTTGTCCTTGATAGCTAAGTTCTTCACATAAACATCATGTTTATATTCTGTTTTTCAAATGTCATATTAATGTTTTCATTTTTCTCTCTACTGAATGTTTCTAAACAAAAATATATATCTACATTCTCTTCCAATAATTCTATTATTTGGTATTTCGTCAATACAAACAAGGGTAAGATAAGTGCATTAACTTTTATAGCAGCTCTTATATAACAGCACTAAGTTAAACCTAGCCATCTAAGTGTTCACCTAAGTATAACAATCTTGATGCAATGTAGGATATGTACACTAGTAGGAACGACTAGGAAACACCACCCAAAATATGATGCTGAAAGTTCTCAGTACCCAGAAAGTCCTTTCTGCCAATTTTAGCTCATTCTCTTGCTCCCACCACTCTGTGAATCCTTACATGTCATTGAGCTTTGCCAGTGACATATTTGTCTTAGATTTCGTTTGGGTCCTAAAAACAAAACTCGGTGTTAAATGAGTAAAAAATATCATGTAGAATTTCAAGTGGAAGGATTGCATTTACCAAGGAAAGGAGGCATGATTACACAGATAATGTGCTCATTTGTATGGCAATATAATTGTAATATAATTTGTAATGTCGCTATAGATGCATTAGAAGCAATTTGGAGTGAGAATGGAAATTATTAATGCACACACAAAGTTTAAACATCATTCATTCTATACACAATAAATAAAACCAACTTTTAAAGATTTGGACCATTAACAAAGCTTCTATACTGTCATAATTTGCTATTAATTGTGAGAAAGGCAATCAGAAATGTGTTTGACATGTGAGTTTTAAGATGTAGGAGCTGGAGAGATGGCTCAGTGGATAAGATTACTAGTTGTTCTTGCAGAGTACCTGGATTCAATTCTTAGTACCCATAAGGTGGATCACAACCATCCATAACCCCAGTTCTAGGATATCCTATAGTCATGCATATGGTGCACATACATTCATGCAAGCAGAACATCCATATAAAGAAAGTAAAATAAATAAATCGTGTCTTAAAAAATGAAATATTGCACATTTACTCTATCACTCAGCTACATCTTAAGCAATATATATATATATATATATATATATATATATGTTGCACATCATATATAGATGTGAGTCATGGTCTTAAAAGCTCAAAATGGCTTGAACTTACTCTGGAATGCAGGGAAAATTTAAATTTGTGATTCCCCCTGGCTCAACCTCCTGAATATGTAGGACCACAAGCATATGCTTCTAGCACTCAGATATCTGTGGCAACATGACAGACATCCTAATTTACCATGACTAAGAAATACTAGAAAAGCATGAAATCTTCATTGAAAAAAATAGATTGGATTTAGAAGGAAGGATATAAACAACATAGTTCTTCTGCAATGAATTCTTAGTCACCATTGTATTGAAGTTAAGAGGGGAACAGGAAGGGAAGAAAATCAAGAAATATTTCATAATACCATAAGAATATTCTGAAATTAAATTAGGATGCTAACTCCATAATCTGTACCCATAGGAAATGATAAGAAAGCTTTCTGATTTTGATGCACCCTACACCTAGTTGAGGTAATTGTCTCATTTCTTCCATGTGCTCTAAAATGCTTATGAGGAACTTGTAATCAGATTGAACTAATGATTTTCCAACATTTACTAAAATGGTCTCTCAAAGATCTTTTTGGTCCCACAGCAAGATGCATTGGGTGGATTTAAAATTCAAAGACATTCCCTTGAATTTGTAAGGTAAATGCTACTTAGAACATAAGGTCATATTAACTTCAAATTTTATAAATTTTGTAGATGTTTTTAAAGGTAAGTTTATGAAGGGCTTTATTATCTCATTTCATTTTCATATAAGCTGTTTTTCTAGTTTTGTTACTATAACAGCATCTGTAGCAAAAATGAACATGACTCAGAGATAGATATGAGGGTCAAGTATCATGAAAGCTGCAATATTTATACAAAATCAAGGAGAATCATATGAATAAAGTAATACTGGAAGAGAAGTGGGTACTTAAAGCATTTAGCTCAAAAATATTGATTCATGGGTTAATTCTTAAGACATGTGTGTCATCAAAATTCTTTTTATAGAACCTATATGTAGTTTCTGCTACTGACATAGTAAACCATTTTCCACATATTAGAGAATCTTTCTACACCTTTTACTTGGACTTCATTCTCCATGTTCTCTAACTCTCATAAAAAAAAACAAAGACAAGAAACATTTTGTAAGAGAAACATTGAATGAGGATTCTAAGGTAATGACTGAAGTGTATGAATAGCCCCTGATCTAATTGCTAGTTGGAGAACACTGAGAAAGATGAATGCCTGGCAGCGTTTATGAACCTCTGATATTTGAGTTACTCTTTGTTTACAAATATTTTCATGACTCCCTCCCTAATTTGTTTCGTCCTCACTCCATAAATAACTGGATTTAAACAAGGAGGCACAACCACATAGAGATTGGCCAAGAGGATGTGAATGTAGCGAGGAACATTTCTACCAAACCTATGGGTCATAAAAGAGAAAAATGCTGGTGTATAAAAGGCTAAGATGACACAGACATGGGAACCACATGTACTAAGGGCTTTGTGTCTGGCATCCCTAGAAGGAAGGCGAAACACAGCCTGTAGGATCCAAACATAGGAGAGAGCAATGAGAATTAAATCAAAGATCAGAGCAGCAATGGTAAATAAGCCATAGATGATGTTTATCTTTATGCTGGCACAGGCTAGACGAGCTATCCCCATGTGTTCACAGTAGGTATGAGGAATAATGTAGTGTCCACAAAAGGGCAGTCGTTTAAGGAGTGGACAGAAAGGAATGACAAGAAGGACAGGCCTCCCTACTACAACAGATGCCATGATAGCCACCACCTTGTTGGTGAGGATAGAGGTATATCTAAGTGGATAACAGATGGCAACGAAACGGTCAATTGCCATGGCCAGGAGCACAACAGATTCCATGCCTGTGTAGGTGTGGATGAAGAACATCTGGATGAGGCAGCCTTCAAAGCTTATCTCTCTAAGGTTGAACCAGAAGATACCCAGCATCTTGGGGATGGTAGAAGTGGAGAGGCCAAGATCGATGAAAGAGAGGAGGGCGAGGAAGTAGAACATGGGCTGGTGAAGACTCTGCTCATTCTTGATCACAGAGAGGATTGTGAAATTCCCCACAAGTGCTATCAGATAAACAAGGAAGAAAGGGAAGGCTATCCAGATGTGGAAAGTTTCCAGACCAGGAATGCCCAGCAAAAGGAAGGCAGAGGGGTGAGAAGCAGTGTCATTGATAGAGGACATCCTTCTGGGACTCTTGGGAGATTATCTACAATCTTTCTTCAGTATTTCTGGGAAGAAATAAGAAAATACGTGAAAGTTGATGATTAGTACATATGATGACATACCAAGTAAACTCTTAATTTCTTTTTAACAATTCCAAGTTACCAGGAGTTCAGGAATATTTAAGAGAAAACCCCAATATGCTAGACAAAAGGAGAGGGGAAATTAGAATGGGGAGAGATTACAATATGTCATTCAGAGTCCCTGATCTTTTGGTATGGCCTCTTTCTTTATTTGCCAAAACTATAATGTGCTCACCCACTTTTTAGTGAAACAATGGTTTCATTATTATGCTTTGATGAATGAATTATTAATGTTTTCCTGTTCTGATAATTAAAACTTTGTTATTGACAAACATAAGTAATGCAAAACATAATGATTATATTAGAGGTAGAAAAGTATTCAGTTAAATTTAGCATCTATGTCAAGTTTAGCTCAATGCAGGATCACTTGCCTAGCTTACATTTGGCTCTGGGACCACCAAAAAGGTCATTTTCCATTTTTCACAGTTTTGAAAATTTTTTATTAAACCTAGAAATAAAGAAAATCTGAAAAATGTTCCTATAGGATTTAGAATCAATCAAGAATATCAACTTTTATCAATTCTGTTAATATACTTTTTTAGTTTCTTCATGTTTAACACATCCAGAAAAAAGAAAACAATCCTAGTGGTAAAGGGATGTCATCTCTGCTATGCAGGACACTGAGGTAAAAGAGTCTCACTTTCAACGTTTGCTGGGCTCCAAAGTGAGTTCAAGGCCAGGATGAGCAACTTGATGTGGATATGTCACAAAAAATAATCTGCACACAGAGACAACACTAAATGAATTTTAGTGAGCATGAAATTTAAAACTGAAAGAGAGAAGAGCGTGGGAGAGAGAGAACATGAAAATGGGAGGAAAACTGTAGAGTAGGGGAAGAACTGGAGAGAAGATACAAGTTGGATTGGATCCAAATACATTATATGTATGCATGCACATTAGATAAACTATTAATAAACCTGAGCCAGGAATAGAACTCATTGGTAGAATGTTCACTAAGCATCTGCAAGACTCTAGGCTCCATCAACAGTACTGAAAAAGGACAAGTAATAAACTTTTAATTGAAAATTTTTACCATAATTTAACATAAAATTATTAAGGTATAAGTATGTGCACTTTCCATAGTAAACAACAATAATTAAAATTTTACTTAAAATTTGAACATTCATAAAACCCAAAGCATAAACTGTTTAGCAATAAGTACTAAAATTTATGAAATATGAGAAAGAACATAAAAGTGTGTGTGTGTGTAGCCATAATTTGTAGATTAAACTATATTAACTTGCAAATCCATTCCAGATTGTTAATAAATTTAGAACAGTAACAACCAAAATTTCAAATAAAATCAAAATTTATTTGGTAATAATAGTCGGTATATTCTAAATTTACCATTAAGACAATCACAGAATATAATAGTACACATTAAAATATTTTAGGTTATTAAAGAATAAAGACTGAAAAAAGTGACCCCTGCACAATGAAGATCAAACAAGGAGACTAGAAAGGTCAAAAAGAAATAGAGTGATGTACAACTGGATTTTTATAAAGAAATTAATGTACTAATTCAATAAACATATAACTTTCCAAAACTAACTTTTATCACATTTAAAAGAGTAAAGCCTCAAGTCTAATATATAATCCTTCCAAACTTATGACTTTCATACTTGAAATATATCAATATTTTTAAGTTAAAAATAGTCTTTAAAATAACTAAAATAAATCTTTAAAAAAAACTAATATTTTTAGACTCAGCATAGGAAAATATATTTACCATACACTGTACTATAATGTTTTCTTAGGACAGAAGATGCAGTTACTATAAAAGTAATCTACTTTATATTACCAAATTTAGAAGTTTTCTAGTAAAACTGTGAATGTAGAAGGTGTATAATGGGGAGAAATAGTCACAATCTCTATGTCTACACTCAACAAAAGATAATTTTTGTTTAGAGCATATAAATATGTCTTCAAATAATTTTAAAGGTAAAGGGGGAAAGTAAGGAGGCTTACATTGGCATTTTGCAAAGGAAATATATAAATGCATTAAAACTACCCAAATCACTAGGCATCTGTAATTGAACAATAAGCCTGAACATAATGCCTGAAGTGGAAAATCAGAGCAGCAGGATTTGGAATGATGAAACAACAGGCTCTCTGATAGACTCAGTAAAATGGGAAGTGCAGAACTAGAGCTGGAAAATATGGCATCTTCTTAGTTTAGTAATGTTCTACATCCATTATTTCTCAAAGAAATTAAACACTAAACTCATTGCTCAAGACAGAGTAGATATGTCCATCTAAAGATTAGCACAAGGATGTGCATGCCAGCTTTGTTCATGGCTATTCCACTGTAGGAATAACTCAAAATATCAATCAATAAGGGAACATTTGATATAAACGGAATTTATTCAGCAATTAGTATGGATTAATTACTAATGCAAATGAATAAATAAATCTTCAGTAATCATATTTAGTTAATATACCCCTATTATAAAACTTACTTAACATTCCACATGTTACTCAACATATATGAATTTTTTCAACAGGAAACTGAAACTGGGTTACGTCCCTTGAGCTGTCAAGGTTTGAAGGACTAGGAAGGGACACAAGTGCCAGATTTACATTAATGAAAAAATATATCTTTACAATAACATAAAATCTTTAGGTGTATGCACCTGGCAAAAATATGTGAATATGTGTGTACTTATACATATGTAAATATAATATTTAATAATTCAAATTCAAATAGGAGAAAATTGTAGGAGGCTTATGAGTTTTTTCAATCAATTTTACTCTATTTCTATGAGTTCATTTTTACACTCTAACTGAAAATGAGATCATGAAGTGATTATCTTTTTGTGCCTTAACATAATGCCCTCTAAATCTACCCATATTGTTGAAAACAACATTCTCTTCTTTTTGAAGGGTATCTATTTACCTATCATCTATCTATCATAATCTATCATCTATCTACCAATTATCTATGTATTTTCCATGATTATTAAAACTCAATATAATATGATTATCTGTTTCAAATTCTCCATAGTAAATTGGTATAAAGTCTATATCTCATGATAGTAAGTTTCACCTTTTATAGCATACAGTATGATGTGATTTGCTTCAACAAATTCTTACACTTCACAGTGAATTTTAGAGATAAGTTTATTTACTTGAAAAGGAATTATTTTCACTCAAATAATAAAACAAAAATATCCTAAAACTGAATTGCTTTATTTCTTAGTCACATTATTAGAGTATAAAACAGATATCCTAGGAGATTAAATATTATGCCATCATTGTGTTTTGAGTGAATTGCATATTATTTCTGATACAGTCATTGTTTGTACTGAGTGCTCTTCATATCTGTTACTCTGCTGTCATTAAGGGACAATTTCCCTTTCAACCTATTCATTATACTGACTCTGATTATAGGATTGCACATATTTGGTATCTATAGCAATAATATACTACGTATGAAATCTAATGACAGTCTACATCTGAATTCTAAAACACAAAAATAGTACATTAATTACTTTTAAAATTTAACATCCATGGCTTAAGAACCATAATGCCTTGCCAGTACTAGAATTCATTAACCAGTGATAGATGTTGGCTCTACAATTAAAGCAACATCTCCCCACACTCCTCCATTCCACACCTTTATCAACAGTGGTATAGACATACACTTACTTGAAGATCTCATGCTTTTAGGTATCCTCTTACTAGATCTTTCTGATCCAATCTGTCTTATCCACTTACGTACTTACATCATGTAAAGTCTTCACTCCACTGTTGGTGATTACAGAACAATTCATTTATGATGGATGGCCATACTGGGTCTAGAAAAACCCACATTTACAACTTCACTCTGTCTCTCAGTAATGGCTTTGGAAAAACTGTTTCATGAGTTTTACTTTCTTTATCTGTAAAAGCTGTGACCGTAGTAATATTATCAATGTGGCTGACAGGAAGGGCTGAGCGAAATGCATTGATGGTGAGGCTTTATTCACACTAGGAGGAAATACATTTTTATTATTATTGTGCATGGGGACAGTTCTGGTTCTAACATCTGAGTGCAAATAAAAGACATCATGTCAATCATACAGACAAAAATTAATTATTTTAGAAGGAACAGTATGAAGTGAGTACACAACATTCAGTTTAGTTAAAAATAAAGATGGCCAGTTAGATCATCATTCTAAGCACAAATTGTCTATTTAGTTAGGTAACATGGGAGAATCGATTAAGAATCCCTTACTGACTCTTCTTTAGGAAAAACACCTTTTCAGGATAAACTTATAAGTCTCCTGAATTGCATTGTGAAACCTGTAACATGTGTGGAAGACTTGGCTCTGTTTGAACAAAATAAGACTGACTCAAATTGACACTTTATCACTCACACTAACCTCAAACTGAAAAACACCAACAGCCACTCAGAATCTGACTTATTAACGTATATTAGCACATATATTGGAGCCCACATACAAGGTCATATCTAAGGGGTCTTCATTAAAGCCATGCCAAGCGTATCCAAGAGATGACTAAGACTCAACATTGACATGTCAAGTACAGACAATGGTTCCAGACACCAAGCACTCATCAAGGCCCTTATCAGAGAGGGCTGTACCCTGCCTTGTCTGGGGCCTTCCCATACATAATGACAGCTGGAATCAAGTGAGGTGACACTTTTACCTGTGCTGCACCTGCAACTAGTACCATCTGATAGAACTTCCAGTAACTCCTCTGGGTCCACTGTGCCAGACCGCCTCATTTATTTTGAGACATTTTAGTGGGGGGCATGACACATATACAAGATGTGGGCTCCCTTATCAAGAAGGACAGTTTTGCCTCTTCTTACAGCCAGCTGCAGGCAAGCAGCAGCGTTCTGGTTTACAGGTTTCTCCAGATGAAGACTTTATG